CCAGTTCGTACATCCCCCTCAACATTTTCCCCTGACTCCCTTCCCGGTGTGCGTAAGCGGTACTATGGAACTTCAGCCAAACATTGAAACCTTAGTCTTTTGCACCCTAGACAGCTTTGGAGCAGCCACAGACTTCACGCTCATATCTCGAGCATTATTTCTCTTTCAGAGGGACCTCACTGTAGCTCCCACCATAATCAATACTAAAGAACCAGTTCTACTGATATGTAGTCCTATCCACCAACCTCAGACGCTGTATGCAGGCATGCATACAGCGTCTGAGGTTGGTGGATAGGACTACATATAGCAAAGGCCATGCTACTGACCAAGGAATTCGCTTTGACCGATTATACCGAGCCTTGGTGTACCTCCATACGGCAGCCCCCATGTGGACTCATTTGACGTGGCCGATCCCTCTTATAGAATCAACCTCGATCAATATGGTCGCATACTCCGCAAGCCCTTACTTAGACCGCTATGCTGACGTCTTCTCTCGTCATCAATACGATATTCGGCAGCTGCACGGCGGGAAAAGACCACATATACACCATGGATGACCCACCCGCAAAAATCCGTCCGTATAGAGTACCCGTTAAATATCGCGAGAAGGTTAAGAAACACATCAACCTGATACTAAAAGCAGGGGTCATGGAAGGATTCCAAACTCATTGGGTCCACAATTTAGTAGTGATTAGCAAAAAAGAAACATCTTTCGGGTATGCCTCGACACGAGACGTCCAATCAGAGAAGTGCCCTAAAACACTTCCAGACCCATGTCCTATCCCACGTGTTGACGACGTTCTCGAGAAGATCAGCGGTAATATAGTAGCTTCTATACTACATTGGATCTCGCCAGCGGTTATTTGCAACTCACGAAGAAGGCAGCTATAAACGCGGAGCCGTTACCGAGAATAAGATCGACCAAATGACCCACCTCCCCTCTGACCTAAAGTTGGCCAGTAGTTATTCGTTACGCATAATGTCCAAAGTCTTAGGCGGCTTAAAGTGCAACGTACTTACCTACATAGACGACACACTCGTTTGTAACAAACATTTAGTCTCACCTCACATCCCTAGAACAAGTACTACTACGGCTTGGCCAATTCAACCCAAAACGCATCACCTAAAAAATGCGCCTTCGCCAGAAAATAGATCACTTTCCTGAAGCACCTCATTGACAAGGACCCATATTCACCCGCCGAAGGCAGCACGCGAGCGGTTCGCGAATTCCCTACTCCCACCAACACTAAGGAGGTGAAACGGTTCCTAGGCACGGTCGGGTTTTCCCGTAAATTCATCCCCAATTCTGCGAACAAAGCAGAACCGCTCACTAGGCTAACCACAAAAGCAACAAATTCCAATGGTTAGAGCCTCAAGAAGCAGCGTTTCACGAGCTACGCGATGCTCTAATCAATAAACCTATTCTAGGTTACTTCAACTACAACAAACCTTTTCACATCTTCACAAACGCCAGCTCTGTTGCACAAGCAGGCGCTCTTATGCAGGAAGAACAACACGGTTCCAATAAGTTCTACGCCATAGCTTACTGTAGCCGCACGTTAAGAGAAACAGAACGCCGATGGCCAGCCGCTCATATAGAATTAGGTGCTGTTGCTGAATTGTTTTCTTTACCTCTTAACGAGGTTTGTACACAAGCTTTATTAGGCCGACGTTTCGGCGGAGTTTCTTTCGGAATTTTGCCGACGAAATTTTTAAGGGGCTGAGTAGGTTCCGGAGACAAAACACCACATCTAACATTTCACGGGCGCAAGCACGTGGTATTAGGAAACTTCGAGACCTAATAAAGTCTCGAGCCATAAGTTTATCTCAAGGGAGGAGAGTTTGTAGTGATTCCCAGACAACTTGACTGTGAAATAAGAAAACACCATCTGGGAGACACCTCCCTCTACCGCCCAGCTTCTGTGAAGGAATTCCAAACGCAGTTTCGTAGTATAAACCGGATGTGGGTTTTAGTAGCACGGTCAGCAGGATTGAGTTCAACCTTGATAATACGGCTCAAACTTGAGTCGCCTTGTTGTCCAGTCCTGCATCTGCTTATGAAGACACACAAGTTTTTGGATGCAGATGACTTAGCTTCAATCAATCCCACTTCCGTGAAAGTCCGTCCTATCATAAGCTGCGTGGGCGGCCCCACTGGCAGAATTGCATGTTTCTTAATATTATTTTAGTGCAGCTCCTCAACTTAATACCCTCCCACCTCACAAACACCCAAACGTTTCTTTATCACCTTGGCGCACTGCACCCCAGTGGTTCGTGCGTCATGGAATCCTTTGATGTGAAAGCCCTTTGCACAAATGTCAGCAACGGGTCTGCTATGGAACCCGTGGTTGAGCCTCTTAGTAAGCACCAAAATGACATATATGTGAGGGCTCTCTATATTCCAACTGATGGAACTTGTAAAGGAGTGCCTCATTTGCAACATTTTCAAGTTGTCGGGGAGATATTTCGCTCAAACTAGAGGCTTGGCTATGGGACAACGAATGGCACGTGTCTTGGCTATAGCATTCATGGCCAAGATTGGACGCCTGCACTTGAATACCTGCTCTTACTTTACCACAGGTATATGGACGACTGCCTCATAGTTTGTGCGACACAGGAAGAAATAGATACGTTTTGATCTGCCGAACTCACAGTCACATTAAGTTAACTCGGGAAAAACCGTCCGGGAACTGGCTTCCTTCCTTAAACGTTCAAGTGAGGTTGCAGGGCGATCTGATTGTTACGAAGTGGTACAGAAAGCCCAGCAATAAAAATATCATTGTCCATTATTACTCAGCTCATCCACTTTACATAAAGCGAGCGGTTGTTAGGAATATGTTCCGCACCGCTAAAACGCTTTGCACTGGGAGGATGAGCGAAAAGAGTCGATTAAAATGGCATGCGATATGCTAAGATGAGTGGCTACTGCAATTTTTCAACTACACGAAAAGCTTCTTCTGGTGGCGTGATCCTCAGACATGGTAGTACCTCGATTGATGGGAAGATTCTTTTTGTATTACCATTTATCTCTGATGAGGTCAGTGCCACTATTAGGAAGGGTCTAAAGCGATCGGGCTTGAAAAGTAAGGTTGCTATTGTGAACGTACCACCCTTCAATCTAAAGAAGCGCCTGGTTTGGAACAGGCTATACGATCGCCTGTGTATAACCACAAACTGTGTGGTATGCCCAGTCGGCAAGGAGGGTGAGGTACCATGTCTGGGGTGGTCTACAAGATTACTTGCCGTGATTGTGGTTTGGTGAAACGGCAAGACTCCGTCACGTGAGGGTTAAGGAGTACATAGATGGTATGTGGCAATTGAAAGAGTCCTTTGCCTTAGAAAACCACCGAATTCAAAAACACAACGGAGGCGTTTTTGTTTTTGAAGTCACCGTGGTGGTCGTGGCACAGAAATCGCAATGATGCACGCGTAAGGCCCTCGAGGCATACAAGTCACCGATCCAAAAATGAACCGTAGGGAAGAATGCCTCCCGATCGCGCGGGAGCTGCGGCCTTATATAAAGTCGACCTTCTCGCAGAGACTTTAAATGAAAACCTACCCTAGCTGAGACTGGTCGATTGTTACCGTTGATTGCTGTTTGGTTTCGAAAAATTCACAGAGCTACGATGAGTGGTTCTCCTTTGATCCCTGCGTGCCCTGGGAATCTCGAATTTCAGTGTGGCAGTGGAGACGTTTTATCGGATAGTCACAAATTGTTGTGATCTCTTCAGGCTCTGAAGAAAGCGACTCCGCCGAAACGTCAGCCTAATAAAACTTTTACAGAGACCTCGCGAAGAGTTAAAGAAAACAACTCAGCAACAGAACAGTTACGCAGAGGTTCATAGAAAGCCGTACGTGGAAGAATTAGGTGCCATTACTTACGCACTATGCCAGTTCAAACCCTACTTTTGCATGACCCAAGTCACACTTCACAGCGACCATGAGCCGCTAACTTACCTCTTGAATAAGAGTAAAACACACGGCAACCTAGCGCGTTGGTTCATCGAACTGCAGAGCTACATATCAAGGTCGTCCACACTAAGGGAGCCAAAAACAGCGTCGCGAGCGCGTTGTCTCGGGTTCACGAGGAACAGAACACCGTGCTGTGCCAGACCAGGAATTACAGGACATAATAGACCTTCCGCTCGGTCTCCAAGTTCAAGTCGAGTCAATTGAGCCCCCTCCTCCCGCCAGGGCTAGTCGTACCTTCGTTTGTGGCAGTCCAGAGCTTATAGATTTCCGTCAAGTGCAGCAGTGG